CACTTGACCTATTCTCATTCTTGATTACAAAAATACCAAATCCAAGGGAATATCAGATGCCCCCGTGTGATGGTTATAATGGTCCAGTGCAGATTTTACCAGGCACGTGTAGGTGCCTGTTTAGGGTGAAATAAGAGTGGTTTAAATACCTAAAGATTAATAGAAAACATATTAAGTGTTCAGTTTCCTTTAACCCAGTTAGAAAAGGGCTTTATTTGCTCATTTTATCTCTTTGCAATAACAATTTTTTGAGAAGAGCTGTTCCASAGCCCTTCCTGAGGTGTTCTTCTGGCTGTAATTCTCCCATAACTGATTTTTACCATATTGCTATATTTTTTTATTTTTTTTATATATAGGCCATGCATTTTGAAAGATCAATTTGAAATCAAATCTCACAGAGATGGACAGAATCTGAACAGAGCTGAGGTCAGGAGAGTCATTTTCTCTCCAGAGAGAAAGAGCCTTAGGTTCTCTCAATTCCATTTGGCAAAAGGATTTGCCTTTCATTGTTGGGAAGTTAAAGCTGTGAAGGTACATGAAGTTRGTAAAGGAAAATAAAAATTTAAAATATATAAATATAAAAAGGAATGTAAAATTAATATAAGTATAAATATAAGTATAAATATAAATATGCATATAAATATACATATAAAWATATATAAATWTAMATATAATGGCACATTATAATATATAATAATAATAGTAATAATGTTAATTTTTTTYCTGGGTTGTTCCTTCAATCAGTTGYTAATATCCAGTTACAGCAATGATAAATTGGCTTCASGTTTCCCTGTGCTTGGGTAGCTCAAGGAGAAAACACCAGGCTGGAGTGATTTGAATTTAACCTGACCYGTCACAATCGTAATCAATGACACTAGAGAGGAAATGTTTCCTTATCTTGATCAGAAAGAAAGTGATACTTGGAAAATGCAGYTCAGGTTTTCACCTTTTTCGAAAGAAGAAATGCCAAAGTCATCATTATTGCAGATGAAGTGTTTGATCCTTGGAATTATCATCTGCTGTGACACTTTATCCGTGTTAAACTCACTTAAATGAGTCATTTACTCGTTTTTTCTGTAAAAATTTCAGTTTTTTCAGGAAATCCTCCTGCTCTTGTGACAGTTTCCCATGTTTGCTGTTGCACTCACTGCAGTGTTTGGGACTGCACGAGTGTTTTCCCTTTGGTTGCTCATGAAAACAAGATGTGTTTCAGTAGGATTTCCTGGTGAACAAGATTTTACATGAATGAAGGAATAAATGTTTGATGTAAAGGCTTTCATTGATTCCCAAAGGCACGGGCCATACAAATTCCCTTCCAGCWTGCATTTCTGCATCTTCTGCATAGTCGAAACCGTTTCAAAAAGATGAAACTTKAAATGTTTTATTAATTGCTGAGAGTTCTACCTTCTTGCTACMATCATTTTCAAGGCAACTCAAAGCAGTCCCTCCTTTCTCTGAGCATTGAACAGCTTTTATTATTATTGCCAGCTGTGGAAAGGTCAATTCTTTCACCTTGGGGAGGTGATTCAGGAGGGAAAAAGGAGCCAACTGAGGTGCCAAGACCAAGGCAGCAGTTTGGAATGGGTTTATAATTTTAATATAAGGGCTGGGAGATAATGACAGGAGAGATTTCTCTCTTTTTTTTTTGGTTACATGATAATGCAAATTCCAATCAGGTACCTTTGAGGAATGTTTTTATAGACTCTGGCTTTTCCATTATCAGATCTCTCGGTGTCATGACCAGTCCATTGGACTGCACAACATCTATATTATTACTAGCATTGATTGCTCATAAAAAATAGGGTTTATAATTARGAGAGCATAAAGTTACTACCTGGAAGAGTGGATAAGAAGAAAATGAAATGAAAAAGTCACTTAATCTTAGTAGTGCAGTTCTGCAAAGTGCCATTTATTTTTCTCCCAATATAACTGAGTTCTGTGTTGATAACAAGCTACTGAGTTAATAAATCTGTCACAGCTATTGAGACTTCTTTTTTAATAACAGAGCTAATGAAGGAGCATTAAGGAAAGGAGAAATACATTTTGCAGGGTTTATTCCCATCTTGGTGCTGTGCTGAGTGCAAGCAGACTTGAGCAAGGAATTGTTTTTCTGACAAAGTCCATATATTTCATCCAGTGGGGCTGTAAAGTTTGCATGGTCACCATTGCATTCCAGGATTATTTATACCAAAAACAAACTGCTGATTTGATTCCTCAGCATCTAACTTTGTATTTACTTCATTTTAATTTGATCCAGCTAGCTCAAAGAAGAAGATTATTTTGTGGTATAAAAATCTGGTTTGTTTTCCATTTTAATCTTTCACCGTTCCACCTTTTACTGCTCTGAGRAAAGATCCATTCAGCAGATTGAGAGGCCTCTTTTAAGGTCGTGTGTTCATTTCTGAGCTGGATTGTGATGTCTGGAGCAGGAGCTGTGTGGGTGTGCCCTGCTTTTCAAAGGAATGGACTTTTGAGATGGAAGTGAGGAATAAAATCATCTCCCCTGTGGGTGGGGTTACCCTGGAGCCCTGCCTGGCACACACAGTAATTATTGCTGTGTTTTCTACTCATGTTTGCATGTTTTCAGGTGTACACCTGAGCCTTTGGGCAATCATTTTTTACTTCATTTTAGCTACTTTTAGGATACTGCTGCTGTCTGTTATTTTCCCTCTCCATCCCCCTATAATACAAGCAAATAGTTTGAGCATTTATTGATGTTGGAGTTAATTTTGTGCCAGAATAGTCAGTCATGTTTATAAACCAACCTTTCTTTGTGTTGATTCAATGTTGTCTGCTGCATAAAAAAGGTAAATGCTGGAGATGCCTGGATGTGCATGTTGAAAGTGGTCAATTTAATGACTTTTTTCAAAATTCTTGCTCAAGATACTGAAAAGCCAGTTTCACATCTAGTATGTGATTATATTTTTTTTAAATTAGAAAGTTAAACAAAGTTAACTAAACACAGATGTATTTTGTTTTACTTACACATATGTATCAAGGAAATACTTTGATATTACCCGAAGAAAGGAATTACTTTTATTTACSATTTTATTTTGTATTTTTGTGTTTTCCTGAAGTCCCAGCTCAGCTGTGTAGTTGCAAGAGAAGCTGAACTGTTACTTGCAGAAAATGATGGGGAAAAAAATGAGAAGAGAAAATCTAAAAAAAAACCTCAAACCCTCTTAATCTGTTTTTAACCTGAACGGTTGATGGGTTTGAAATTTTGTCAAGGAATAGTGTAATGCTCGTCCCCAGTGAGAGCARGGATCACTCGACTCTTGAGCAGCCCCTGTTTTACAGGAGCTGCAGCACTTTGGAGTTGATGATTTCCCTTCTTTTGTGCTTTCATTTCCAGCGCTTAGTGACGCTGCAACCAGTGTGGAGATTTATTCCCATGCAAAACAGATTGACTTAGGGTAATTTGAATAGTTTCTGCATGGCTGGATTCATTAGGAAGGGAGGCAAGGCAGYGCTATAAAAAGCACTGCTAATCTTGCTAAAGGAGCCGTTAATTCCCGCAGCACTGGAGGCATTTCCCCAGCAGGGAAATGATGGGCACAGAATCCATCCACAGCAGCCTCTGCTCCTTGGCCAGAGCTCTGAGATGATTCTGTGTGGTTTCATTGCTCTGCTGGGTTCTGCAGAATCCTGAGCTTGGAAGGGACTCTGGAGCTCACCCAGGTTTGAGCCCCTTTGGCCAGGACAGGATTGACATCTCTGAGGATGGAGACCCCACATCCTCCTGGGCACTGCCCAGTGCCYTTCCCAGTCTGGAARGGTTTCCTTTCCTTCCTGCCCAGTCGGGTTCTGTGTTTGTGCCCACTGCTGCCTCTGCTGCTCCAGATGGGCATCCAGGGCAGAGCCAGCCTGGTCCAGCTCCTGCTGAGCTCCCAGAGCACTCCTGGCTCCATCCTTCCCCTGGATTCAGCCAAGAGCCTCCTCCAGGATGGRTTTGTACCCCTGGACCTGTTGGKGTTGGTGCCCTGTGCCCTCTGCACRAACTGGGAATCAGAGGGAGCTGAATCCTTGGGGAGAGCTGAGGAATCCTGCACTGTGCCTGGCAGGGGTTCTGCTCTGGAAATGCCTCCTTTGGGATGCYCCAGCCCTGGGTGAAAGCCCCAGCCTTGTTTTGGGACATCCTGGTGCTGCATCAGGGACCAAACCCATGCAGAGCAGCACCTGAGTGGGCAAGACCCAACAGGGCCAAAAGGAAACAGCCACAAAAAGGAAAAAAAAAAAAAACCACCAAAAAAAAAGCAACAAAAATTTGTATTGCAGGAACTCATTTTCAAAAAGAAAGATCCAAACCTGCAGGACACTAAGTGAGAGTTAATCTTCTGCCCCTTTGTGTGTGTGTTCATGGCTTTAAAATTTGATTGCAAAGGCATTTAGGAGTGGGGCTGCTGCTCCTTGGTGATTGTTTTCCTGGGATAGAGACGTATTTATTATTCATTGCAATAATTACTGTGTAATATTTTATACTGAAAGTTGTTCACATTGCACAATCAGGAAGTGCTGAGGAAGTGGCTGATTTAAGTTCTATTTTTAACTCTGTACCAAATTACGGTGAGCACTCTTTGGGYTTTCAGACTTGTAGCATCTGCTGGCTTTTCACACTGCACTGGTCAGTGCATCCTCATGACACTTGAAAAGTATTTTTCTAGAGATTCTGTGCATAAATTATTCATAAAATTGGGAAGATTTTTAGCCAGGATTTTATTTATTGTGTGCTGTTTCCAAGGGGACGGTGTTTCAGGATTCTCCTAATGCTTTTATCACCCAGCTTTTCTGATCAAGAAAGTAATTTATTGCTGATTGCAGAACTCTTGAACTCAGTCTGGCAGCTGCAGTGTGAAACTTCTCTGATCCAGTCTCCTACTTACTTATTTACATCTCATTGGAAATGATTTTCAGGGCTGTTTGAAAACCTCTTGACATTGCATTATCCGTGTTTCAAATCTTATGGTGATTTGTTTTTTTTTCCTCTCTTTTTGTTACAGATAACAAACGAGTAACTTTGGAAAGGTCTCGTTCTCGACACAACGGAGCAATCGCAGCTGTATGATTCTTCTGATGCCAAAGAATTAATGAATTGTTTTATTACAATGAAATGGATCTGCTTTGGAAAGGGTTTAGCATCCAAATTGGCAATGATCATAAAGGAATGCTGGTATTGATTAAATGAGATGGTGTAAAAATGTGTAACTTTAAAGCTGTTGCTTAAAAAATCCACAAACTGTATCTTATTACCCCAACTACCAAGATCTGTAAACAGTGTTCAGCAGTAGGGTATATATCTTATTTTCTTATGTTTTTTCTTTTTTTTTTTTTTTTTCCCCCCTTTTTGTTTAAGCTGTCAAGTCACATGCAAAGAGTTGGGGATTTCCAGGTTGGGTTTTATATGGGTAAGAAAATACAGTTCTGTCGAAAGAGTACAGCTGTGGATTCCATTTGCAGTTCTGATTKGAACATGAAAGGAAAAAAAAAATAATAAAATGTTATGTTAATAAATTCAGAGATGAGCTGGTCTACATTATCAGAATCTTTTTTGTAACCATGAAAAAGCAACACATAGCCCCAGTCAGGTTGCTGAAAACCTTATCTGAGTGTAAAGCTGGTGGAYCCAGCTGTTCCAGCTGTGAGTAGGATATACCACATATCTACACTCTGCTGATACAATGGTGTGTAGGTACTTATCACTGCTAAAAAGAAAAAAAAAATTAAAATAAAACAGAGCATAGGATTTTTTCCAAAATGATATCAAGGGCAGAATATGTTTTTAACTGTATCTAAGGAGGGATTTTTCTAATTGTGCACTTATATATTCTTTATAAAGATATTTGGGGGGGGAAATATGATTGTCCTATTTTAATGATGCTMAAATACCTGTGGGTAGGTTTTTAGAGACAAGCTGCATTGGGAAGTGATTCAGAGCTGCCTCTGAGTTCCTCCTCTGTTTCTCAGGTAAAAATGTAGCGGGATCTCCACTGRTGGGTTTTAGTGCTGAGCCTTCAGCAGCCAAAATCAAACATTCTCCGTGGCTGCAGTGACCAAAGGCTGCAGCAGTCGGGTTTTTGGGAGGCTCCTCCTGCTCTCCTTGCACTGCAGCTCCTCAGCTGAGCATTTGGCAGCTGCACTCTGTCCTGGCCCTGCCTGGGGTCCCTTCTGTCCCCAGAAAGTGTCCAGAACTCTGGGGCCACTGAAGGGTCACCCAAATGGGATGGAGGCTTTGAGGTGGCAGTTCCACTGCAGGACTTGCTGAGCTGGGAGATTTTTTTTTTTTAAAAAGTCAGGATGCTCTGTAGTAGCTGGCACTTGTTCTCAAATTCTTAATGCTTATCACTGATGGATGRAATTGTTATGAATACTTTTATTGCCTGGTGTTATGGGGAACTTGGGGTTTTTTAGTGTTCTGTAGAGCCTGTGTGGGCACAAACTGCTTGCTCTGGAGGGCCCTTTGGGGCAGTGGCCCTTGCACTACTGCTGGAGCCAAGCATCTTGTACAGAAAATTGTTTTTGCTTCTCTGGTGAGATTCTGTAAAGCTATCTGACTAGTTTGGGATAAATTCTCACTATTTCAAACCACATATCCGATTATTGGAAGAAAAGATACAGCTCCTTTTCAATCTAATATTGAAGTTTAATTTTTTTTATTATTTTCCCAAAACTTGTCTTCAAAAAATGCAAGGGGTTTGCCCATAGCTCYAAACATAGGAATTACACTGAAGCCTAGTGAAATGCTTGCTCTCTCTAAACTGTTTGGGGGTTTTAGTAACAAACTAAAGAGTTGTATGGTACTTCAGGGGGAAAAAAAAAAGAACAAACCAGAAAGAAAACCCCATGCAACAGGATTTTGTCTCCTTGTTTATTGCTAAGAGCTAAAAAGAATTATATCCTGTTTTGTGCAAGGTCAACATCAGCCTTGTGTTGAAGCAGAGCTTCTGTAAATGGAACTATTAAATCTACAGTTACAAAAATRTGCTTAATGTACAAAGCCAGTTTAAAGGATTAGGTTCATAATGTCTATATAAATCAATAGTGTCTTAGAATTCAGATTCTGAAATTAGCATTTTGCTGGGATTTACAAGTATTGGTATAATCTTTATATGTGAAAACTCAAAAGCTCTCCACAGAATCTTTCTACGATAGCAGTAATTATTAGTGCACAAGTTTTTCATTTCCATGGGTTATATTTTTTTTTGGAAAGCTCTGTGAAAGCTGGCTACAGATTTTCGAGAACCAAATCTTAGGAAAAAAAAGGCAAATCCAAAATAACATCATCTGATGCTTCTATTTTACTACTATTTTTTTCATATTTGAAACATTTATATAATTTAATGGACATATCTGTTAGAACAAAAGTGTCTTTCAAAGGAAAACTAGTTTAGAAGATAATTTATGTAAATATAGGGTGCTCGTATTTATGAAGTCTAAAATATTTTCTGAAATTGATGCTGGTCACTTTGTCTTTTGATAGTTTTTCAGTCTATATTAAATTGCAGATATTTTTAATGTTTTTATTATTGATCTAATTTTCAGAGGTGTCACATGTTTATCTAGAAGTGTAGAAGAGTAGCACCTTTTTCAGAAATGCACTTGCCTTATTTTCTAATTTAAAAAAATAAAAAAAAAATGAAATATATCAGTTAAATTATATTTGTATTCAAAGTAATCCCAGAAAGAAAATCACTGGAGGGTTCATACAYAAATTTCTTGCTAATTATGTTTCACTCGATGTCCTCCGAGACACGACGTTAACAATATACCAGCACATCTGTTTGCATTCACATTTTACCAGTTACAAGTACTGAGAGAGGTATTTTTTTTTTGGTTTTTTTTTTGGTTTTTTTTAAATAATGTTACACTGTTTACATTTCTTAGTTTATTTAAGAGGAAGATAATTTTACCTTTGCGATGAATTGAATTTCCAAATGTTCCTGGGAATGCAATGTTTGAGTTGTGTATCAGTACCCATCTCTGGTTGAACTGCTGGTTGGAAATGTGACCACACTGAAAAATGTTCCAGTTGATGAGAAATGGGGTGCAGCCTGCTTTKTCTTGTGTGAGATCCAGCAGGGATCCTGCCCCAGCACTCCTGGGGGCTGTGCTTTGGTGTAAATCAGATTTTGGAGCCAGAACAGGATCGGTGTTCCCACAACACTGCTGTCATCTGTTCTGGCTTCAGCTGCCTGGGGTCAGGATGGAAAACAGGATCTAAAATTATGTGTTCTTCTTGAGAATCCAGATACAAAAGCGTTCCCATAGTTCCCTTCTGTAATATGCAAATAATCATGAATATCTGTATATTTTTGCATTTTTGTGTGTGGTATATGTACTACCTCAGACAAATGCTGTAAAAAACCGTTAATATTTCCATGGTTTCTATCCAAGCCACAATCCATTAGTAACCTACTTTAAATTCATCCCACAACACAACAAAGCTCTGAGAATCTGGCTGAGTTCTAGGTTTGGCTCTGGAAATCCTCCTCTYGCTTTTTGTTAAGGAAACTTTGCCACGCTCAGCTCAGAATTCACAACTTCCCCAGGCAGAGAGGCAGTCAGCATTCAAAGCTGGGGTGGTTTTATGGGAGCAAGCTCACCTATGTGTGTGTAAATTGCTTTTTTTTTTTTTTTTTTCCATTAGCCAAAAGCTTGGCTGAGTTTTTTTCCTTCGCTGTTTGCCTTGGAGTGCTGCAAGGTGGGGCAGGACAAGCCCTCTGCCCCCCTCTCATGTGCCATACTGTATTTGCAAGTTATTCATTTTGAAATAAATATTGTAAGGAATATCCCTCTCTCCCCGTGGTGTCTCCACACGTGCCCACGCATGCACGCAAAAAAAAAAAAAAAAGATTTGTAAAATTTAAAAAAAAAAAAAAAAAAAAAAAAATCAAAGCAGATAAAGCCAAATCTCTCAGCTTCAGGTGTGTCCGGATCACGTAGTGCTGCTTTTGTGCTCCAGGGAGAGAGCTGTGTGAGCCTGTGAATTCTGCAAGCCCCCCCTGATGTCACTGGGAGAGTGGGAAAGGAGAAGGGTTTGTCTTGGGGTGCTCCTTAGCGCTNGCTGTTTGCCTTGGAGTGCTGCAAGGTGGGGCAGGACGAGCGCTCTGCCCCCCCTCTCATGTGCCATACTGTATTTGCAAGTTATTCATTTTGAAATAAATATTGTAAGGAATATTCCTCTCTCCCCGTGGTGTCTCCACACGTGCCCACGCATGCACGCAAAATGTAAATAAAAAAAATTTGTAAAATTTAAAAAAATAAAAAAAAAATCAAAGCAGATAAAGCCAAATCTCTCAGCTTCAGGTGTGTCCGGATCACGTAGTGCTGCTTTTGTGCTCCAAGGAGGGAGCTGTGTGAGCCTGTGAATTCTGCAAGCMCCCCCTGATGTCACTGGGAGAGTGGGAAAGGAGAAGGGTTTGTCTTGGGGTGCTCCTTAGCGCTGTTTGAGGTGATACATATGCCACAGAATGTGAACAATAACCTATGACAGCTCAGTCACTCTGCTCTCATGCACCGTTTGATTTCCCTTTTGGAAGTCATAGGACTCCTGATGCCAAAAAAAAAAAAAAAAGATTTAAAAAAAAAAAAAAAAGGTGACAAAACTCATGCATTTCTATTTTTTAAACAGCTCTGTGTTTGTATGTAATGTTTAAAATAGGAATTTGATGAAATCACAGCCTGGCCATTGTTAATCCATGTATTCTGGAAACTGTAATAAAGATATACATAACATGATTCTGGTAGATGCACCAATGTTTTACTTGATTCTCATGATTATTTCCTGTTGAGTACCATCACCTCAAAGCCTGGGTTTCTTATGTGAACTTGTCACGCTGAAATTACATTCCATTTGAGCTTGATGTTGTTTTGTGGATTTCTGGGTTTTTTTTACTCTGAGGCGTCAATTATGTTTGGCTTGAACTTGGGGAACAAGGTGCCTTTCCCAATGAAGGAGGACTTTAAAAACAAAATAATTTTAAAAAGTATATAATTAAAAAACCCCGACATTAAATCATGGTGATACCATTTGATTTTCACAGACATAGCAATAAAAGGGAATCAATTAACAAATCCCATGGGTCCATATTTATTTTCAGAGGCYGGACTTCAGTATGGAATTTGTAAGACAGATGCATAGTCAGGCAGCTGCTGTTGATGCTTTCCAAATTTCCTAATTCATTCCCAAAATGGTCTTACCAGAACAGAAACTTAACAGGTTCTTCCCTTCAAAACTGTCTGTAGCACATTAAACAAGTTAAAGATGTCACCATGAAGGACTGAACTGCACCACAGTGGAGAGAGAGAGAACATTGAATTTTATTTAAAATTCGGATTGGATATAACCCTAATGAGTGTGAGCAGCCATGCTGGTACAACTYCCCTTTAGTAACATTTTGTATGTGGAAAAGATGTACCCAGGGGTGGGCAAAGGCACCATTTTATTTTTAATKAACTGAATTCCAGTCAGAATGCACTGTTTGATACAGGAGGAAGCAGCAGAGGTATGGGATTAATGTGAAAAAAATAGAAATCTTTTAAATGTCAGCTCTGAATGTAAATGCTATGATTGTCCTGATTAGGGAAAAGTGTAATAATAGTGTCCTACATACACTACATGCTCGTGTTCCTTGTTTTTAGGTAAATGCTCTTGTCTTGCTGGTGTGGGACTCAGGGATTCCCATCACTCCTGAAACTTTCTGCCCTCAGGTGCTGGGAATTGGGGCAGAATTGTCCTCATGATGCCTGATGATTTTTGCCTTTCCTTTTTACATTTCTGTACCCTCTGTGCATCCCCCTGTACCCTTTAGCCCACGTTTGTAATTCCTGTACCCTGATATTCCAGCTTAGTTTAGGAGTTCTGCTGGGCAGAGACCAAACATCCTCAGGAAGGGCTCAATGTGCCCTGTGCTATCTTAAACCTGAGCTCAGCCTTGGGTGAAGCCTTCTGTCCAGAACATCTTGTGTAAACTGAGCTCTGGCCTCATCCAGGATTCATTAGAATAGGGGGACATTACTGCATTTGGGAAGTTTCTTATTGGAGAATCCCAGATAGATTTGCTACTTCCTGAAACCTATAAAATTTGTATCTTATTGGGGAATCCTAGATAGATATGCTAATTCCTGAAACCTATAAAACTTGTATCTTATTGGGGAATCCTGGATAGAAATGCTAATTCCTGAAACCTATAAAACTTGTATCTTATTGGAAAATCCTAGATAGAAATGCTAATTCCTGAAATCTATAAAACTTATACCTGTGCTGTACACGGGTGTGCATTC